CTTCGATGGGGTTGATGATTTACAGCTTCAGAAGCATCCTGGGTTTAGGGTTTAGGGTTTAGGGTTTAGGGTTTAGAGTTTAGGGTTTAGGGTTTAGGGGTTTAGGGGTTTAGCCCCCACAAAAGCCCTTCAGAGACTTGGGGAGGGGGGGTTGGTAGGTTGTAGAACTGTGGAACTTTGCGAATCTACCGGCTGTCGATGAAAGCACGATGATTGTGCCCAGAGTCTTCTACCTCCACCTAGCGGCTTCGCATCCCTTCAACCTAAACCCTAAACCCTAGGGTTTAGGGTTTAGGGTTTACAGTCAGACCCCGAAGGCATAACAATTGCAGTGGGGGAACCTTCCCACCCAAGGAACTGCACGTTATGACTTATTTCTTTGAAGTCATAACATTTGGCTTTCCCCCCAATGAACTGCTGGGATTCAAGCACACAAAAAAAGTATGCAATAGGACCTTTTCGCACGGAAAGCTAATAGTCGGAACTCATAACATCTCGCTTTCCCCCGCATGAACCGCTGGTGACACAGTAATCCATCGCATTGTTTTGTGCAGCCTTGCGCTGCTCCATGTTTGGGGTTGAGGATTTTGGGGTTTGTACCACGGCGATGCGGCTGTCCATACCCCAACGTGCGATTTGTGAACGTCTACAGATTCTGTCTGTTTTCCAAAACAAGCAGAGGGTTTACAGTTTGGGCCAGCCCACGAGCCCCCCGCCAAAATGGCTTCAGGCAAAGGAAAACCAGCAGATTGTTGTTAGTCACATGTTTAGAACATGCAAATCGCCAGCGTGACCGCTGAATGCTACGACTTCTTGTTTCCTTTTCACCCAGTGATTGCAGGCAACACAGGAAAATGTTATGTCTTCGGGGTTCGACTGCAGGAACCCTATGTCCTAGCTTCATATTTCCCGGAAAAAAAGAGTCCCTTCAAGGAGATAGGAGGCCTCCCTCCTCCTCTTTCTTTCCCCTAAGTTCATCCGAACAGACTAGGAAGCACCAGTGCGAAACCCTAGACCCTAAACCCTAAGCCCTAAACGAGTTGCAGCCGCTACTCCTACGGCAATCCCAAGCGGGGCCTGAACGTCGTGTGGTGGGGCGCAGCCGCCATTGTCAAAGCAAGCGTGTGAACGCTATGTGTCTTGGGGTCTGAGAACTCAGGGGAGGCTTGGTCTGCAGAGGGCTTCAGGTCTTGGGCTTCACTTGAGGTGTGCGCTGATTTATTAGCTTCGCCTTTGGGCATGGTGATCTCTGACGGTTTAAGGCCCAAAGCTTAGGCTAAGTTGTGAAGGGCTCGGCATTCGGCCTGTCAGCCGCGCGTCACCTGAGGCTTCCTTGGGCGATGTGGGGCTGCTGTGATGAGGCCCTGTGGAAGATGTCCGTACTGCGGCAGGAATCGCTGGCAATGCACGTGTGACCGGAAGGAGGCGCCCCATACAAAGCCTGACGACACACGAACCAGACTGGCACCGGCATTCGCTTATACCAACCGGCATTGTCCCTTTCCATAGCACCTTTATAGTCTCTGACCGACTCCGCGGCATTCTATTCTAAGGGGGCGGGGGGGGGGGGGACCTCTACGCCAACTTTTGGACAGAAAGCGCTCGATGCACTCACAAATATGGTGCTTCTCTGAATGAGGTGGCGCCTCAGCCAGTAGCATGAGATGTTTAGGGTTCAGGGTTTAGGGGGTTTAGGGTTTAGGGTTTAGGGTTTAGGGTTTAGGGTTTAGGGTTTAGGGTTTAGGGTTTAGGGTTTAGGGTTTTGGGGGGGGTGTTGTCAACATGTGGGCAAGGTGTTTGTAAGGAATGATGGAAAGGAGTCGTCCATTTGGAGAGTGAGGCTGCCAGGGCCCCACACCTAAACCCTAAACCCTGAACCCTGAACCCTAAACCCTAAACCCTAAACCCTAAACCCTGAACCCTAAACCCTAAACCCTAAACCCTAAACCTCATCTGCTTCTTTATCCGGGCCTATCTTGTCATGCCAAGTAGTTCGTGCAGACACGCGGAGATGAAGAGGACTGACCCCCAAATTCAGAGAAACAGCCACATCTGGAAAGTTGGAGGGCATCTTCCTTGCAGATGTCCTCTTGAAGGATTGCAAGTCCAGCATAGAAACCACAATCGGCAGAAGCGCTGCCATACGCCTTTGCCGATGTCTGTGTTTGCAGTCGATGATGTATGCCACAGCAGAATCTAGACGATGCTCATGCTAATTGCAGAGACGTAGAAGCGTGCGAACCCATTAAGCGAACCTTCTGAGGTGAGACCTGAATTTCTTTGGTGCAACACCAAGGATGTCCGAAAGGGGCATCGGCATTCTGAAGTGCCTCCCTCTGTTGAAAAGGAAGACCCGAGCTCCCAATCCTAGATCCCTCGAATGGGCCACGAAGAAAAGAACAATGAAGCGTAAACCCTAAGCAGGGTTTAGGGTTTAGGGTTTAAGGTTTAGGATTAGGGTTTAGGGTTTAGGGTTTGCGGATTCGGGTTTAGGGTTTAGGGACCCTAAACCTCAAAGCCTAGCCCCCGACCCTGAAACCCCAAAACGGCCCCAAACGTTGGCGTTGTGACTGCGTGGACTTAAAACCGAAGACTCATATAGGGGCCTCAATAAATAGTATAGGGTTTTGGGTTATTATATAATTATAAAGGGACCAGAAGGGGATAATGCTGGTAATTATTCCGCCCCCTATACTAACCTCTTCGCTTCCGCAGGCAATTTCACGGGGGCTATTGGGGAAAAAACGTTGGGGACTGAACGAACCCTGATAGAGGGTTTAGGGTTTAGGGTTTAGGGTTTAGGGTAGCAAGAGGGAATATGATCCCAATTTGAGAGCTCATTCGGTCCCTATTGATCTAGTCCGCACTCTTGGTTTACTCAGGGTTTAGGAGTTGCTGTCCTTAGTTGCTGAGTTCATAAGCGCCCCAAAAGTGTTTCCGTTCTGTAGGGGATTATGGTAGCCCAAATAGTGTAAAGTTACCCTAAACCCTAAACCCTAAGCCCTAAGCCCTAAACCCTAGACCCTAAACTCAAGGGTTGGTCAATGAGTTTCAGGCCGTCTGGATCAGGGCGGCTCGCCCCAAACTATCTCTCTAAGCCTCCTCCGACCACTGAACCTAAACCTCAAGGGGGAAGCCTAAACCCTAAACCCTAAACCCTAAACCCTAAACCCTAAACCCCAAAGTGAGTCACGAAAGCCTCGACATGAACCCCTCGCGTGCATCCTTGGCAAAGAAATGGGCAGCTTCCCAAGATTTCCCCCCCAAGATTCTGGGATCTGAGGATGGGTCTTGGTGGGGTGGAAGAGCAGATATAAGGTTTCTGGGCTTTGGGGTTTAGGGTTTAGGGTTTAGGGTTTAGGGTTTAGGGTTTAGGGCCTCAACAATCACTGTGGCCCTGGTCTGGGTGGCCACAACGCGACCTTCGCGCTTGGGAAGCGACCATCCAGCTAAGAGCTAAGCGTCCATGCACGGCGGTGTTTAACCTCAAGCTGCCAGCGGCCCCAAGTTGTCAAGGCTTGAGGTGTTTTGACGAGGTAGGAAGGCAAGACCAGGAGAAACCCGAAACCCTAAGCCCTAAACCTTTCAGGGTCTGTCAGTTGAGGAGACCTCGTTGAATTGAAATGGGGTGGAGGGGGGGGGGGGGGGGGGGGGGGGGGGGGAATCCGCACAGGAGAACTAAACCCCAAACTGCCCGAAGCCCTAAGCCCGTCAAACCTCTGCTGTCAACCTTCACCCTTAAAAACCCAAAATGATGCGTATAATCCCGGGTTTATAGGGCTTTTCGGGTCTTTTGCGTGGGTTTAGGGTTTTTGAGGAGGCTTTTAGATTTTTCAGGGTTTTTAGGACGCAAACCCTAAACCCTAAACCCTACACCCTAAATCCTACACCCTAAACCCTAAACCCTAAACCCTAAACCCTAAAGTGCCAAGTCCTGCTGGGCCTCTGACAAAGGGACCCGCTGCTCCGCGAGGTGCGCAGGCCTTCTGGGCGCTGCCCAGTGGCCTGAAAGCCGACCCTACAGACGTCTGTAGGGGCCTAAGAACTCGGGTTTAGGGTTTAGGGCTGGGGTTTAGGGCTAGGGTTTAGAGTTTTAGGGTTTAGGGCTAGGGTTTAAGGTTAAGGTTTAGGGTAAAGGGTTTAGGGTAAAGGGTAAATGGTTTAGGTGTAGGGTAGCACCTTCAAGGACAGACATAAGGTAAATTCCTGGACATTGGGTACGCTGTTGATTTGTCTCGGCTACTTTGCGTGTACCTTTGTCACTTCATGTTTATTGGAACCCCCCAGACCGAAGATTGAAACGCCTAAAATACAACCATGGTTCAAAGACAAAACAAGTCAACTGGCCACATCCCCAACAGCGCATGGCCGACAGAAACCCTAATTACACACTAGACCCTAAACCCTAAACCCTAAACCCTAAACCCCTAAACCCCTAAACCCTACACCCTAAACCCCTAAACCCCTGAACCCCTAAACCCCTGAACCCCTGAACCCCTAAACACCTAAACCCCGAAACCCCTAAACCCCTAAACCCTAAACCCCTAAACCCCTAAACCCCTAAACCCCTAAACCCCTACACCCTAAACCCTGAACCCTAAACCCTATACCCTATACCCTAAACCCTAAACCCCTACACCCTAAACCCTAAACCCTAAATCCTAAACCCTATACCCTATACCCTAAACCCCTAAACCCTAAACCCTAAACCCTAAACCCTAAACCCTCGCGTGTACAGCAGAAGCTCCTTGGCAAAGTATGTGACTGCAAGTGTTGGTGTGAGCCAGTACAGGATGCTCAAGCTGAAACGCTATCCAGCACTTCCAAAAGTTAACCCAAGTAGCAGAATACAGCACGATGCTACAGACAGAACGGCCAGAGACATTTGTGCTTTGTCCCCTGAAAAGAATCAGCTGCTGTGACTCCAGCCATAGACTCATCCCGCTTCGGCGGGTTATGAGCCCAACGCTGCTGAAGCTGGGCTAGACTGGAAGTCAAGAATGGAGAAGAAGGAGAGTGCGCCGGCAGAAAGCAGGCCCAGCCCTTTCTGGAGTGAAGAAGCGCAGAGAAAGTTTATGGAGACCCACGGGGACCGAGATACTCAACGACCTGCAATCCTGGAAAAGTACGAGCAGACAGCGACGCGGCATGAAGAGCAACAGCTTCGAGAACCACCATATGAACAGGCACAGGCCTCGTCATCCACGAGTTTGGATGATGCAAAGAAGCCTGTTGTCGTCAATAGTTCTGCTGAGAGTGATTCAGGTGGAGGAGCAAAGGCCCCATCGGTGGAAAATCTTTCTATGATTGCCAAAGTGCAAGCTCGTGCGGACGGTTCGCCGGACCGTCTTAGCTTGGGAATGGAAAGTGCCTATAGTGGAAAGTCTGCCTCTTCACGACATGAGACCCTGGGTCAGGAAGGCGTTAAGCCAGAGCCAGAGATTATAGCTGAATCTCGGGAAACTGAACCAAGATCTCCAGGGGAACCTGGTATGACATTTCAGGAGCCCGCGATGGCTCAATTGCTACGCCAACTGAGTGGCTTAGTCACTCAGGCCCTGCAGGAGCAAGTGGCGCCAACGCTTCAGCAAGTGCTGGTGAATCAGGCGCAACTTGAATCCCGTTTGGATCAGATGGAAGTGGCTTCCAGACCAGCTTCTACAGATGGAGATGGCTTGATTGAGCGTACGCGAATGCTAGAGCTCAGTACTCCAACTGAGGACGTCAAGACAAGCCATTTTCCCGTGATGTCTAGTAGTGGAAGCGTGGATAGAGTCAATGCGCTAGGTGTACAGTCTATTCGCCCCAAAGCTGAGCAGGCGGAGGTTCCCCATGAAGTCCAGTTGGAAGGTGGCAAACCTGAAGCTGGTGATGACCAAGGACCTACCCTTCCCTCTAAAGGCACCGTATGGGTGGGAACGACGGAATATGCCTGGCGAGTATCAGCTGGCGGATTGAAATTAGTACCAGTGCAAACACAGCAGCATGAAGCAGATCAGCAACCTGTGCAAGAGTTCGGTGTACGGGCAGCAGGTAGTGGTGGAAGTGTACCTACGGACAGAATCTTCAGCAATAGGGCAGTGTCACCGTTTGAGCGTTACCCTGGCACGAGATCAGAGCCAGGACGCGATGACATAGGCCGCGTGAGCATCGAGCGACAACTCAAACCAAATATCTCTGACCCATGCCCAACTCCAAATGCCCCACCTTTGCCTCCTAAACTTGAGCAGGGAACGGAGTCCCAAGTTGGATTCGGCCCATATGAAGGAATTCCTCCAGTTCCAACGGCCAGGTGCAGTGGGGCTGCGGGTAAAGGGACCGGGAATAGGAGTTCAAGCAGGGAGGTTCAAGAGGGCGGGCGTTCAGATGTTCACAGTCGTCCGGTAACGCCAGTCAAACCCAGGATTGTGTATCCGTTCTCTCCAGGTGGCACCGAGATTCGACCTCCAAATCATAGTCCGCCACGTAGACCCACTAGGTCCCCGAACTCAAGAACGAAAGTAGCTGCAGGCACTGAGAACCCCCCTCCTGCACAGACCGACATGCAACAACTGGTGGTAGCGCTTGAAAGGGCTATTCGTGTGGGGCGAGGGGATTCTCGCACAGAGGATGTCAAGTCGATTGCTGAGCTACCCAAACTAGAGATTCGGGACAATGAGCGTGAGCTTACACCATTAATAGCCGGGGACTGGATGGCATTGCTTGGCCCGTCGCTGAGAGATCTCTCGGCAAATGCCTCAGAATGGTGGGCAGAAGTCCAAAGCGCCTATCAGGCCTTTTACACCAAATGGTTAGAAAGCAGTCCGATTGAAAGACTCCTCTTACTGCCTGAACGCCCGAATAGATTTGACGCTGGCCCGTTTGCCAGAGTGGAACAAAGAGCAGTTTCTTTGCTTTTAAAGGCGGTTCCGTCCTCCATAAAGGAGGAAGTCGTAGCTATGAGAAAGCTGAGCTCAATCGAAATCCTAGGAGCAATTATGACTACGTACCAACCCGGAGGGCTGAAGGAGCGTAGTGCCCTCTTAAAGTACCTCACTGCCCCAGAGCCAGCAAAAGGGGTCACAGAGGCTCTTCGAGCCATCAGACGATGGAGTCGCTGGAGAAAGAGGGCTACAGAACTTCAGATTTCGATACCAGACAGTACCTTGCTCATAGCTGGACTGGACGTAATGACTAGCCAGGTACTCAGCCAACACACCGATGCGTTGTTCAGGATCCAAACTTTTCGACACCAACACACAATCGACATGGTGCCGACGGCAGATAAGGCCTTGTCACTTAGCCAAATGATTCAGGCCGAGCTGCAGGTCTTGGAGAACGCAGGCTCCCACAAAAGGCCAAAAATTGCCAAGGTTGCGGATGGAAATGCTGAAGGATCAGACAACGCAAACACTGCGCCTAGTAATAAAGGCAAAGGAAAAGGAAAGGGTGATGGGAAGTCCGTCGCTAAGGGGTCCGAGGCTCCAGAAGGGAATAAAGGTGGCGGCAAGGCCTGTTACCACTGGATGTCAAAAGCGGGGTGCAAGCTAGGGAGACAATGCAGGTTTCCTCACGATAAAGCTGCGCTCAATGCTGCGTTGGATGTGGGCTCCAGGTGCTACGTTTGTAGTGGAATAGGACATAAGGCCCAGGACTGTCCATCGCAGAGCCAAGTGGAAGGCGAAGACAGGGCAACTAAAGGTAAAGCAAAGGGAAATTCCAAAGCTCAGCCCAATGTTCCGGCTGTGAAGCGCGTGGAGGAAGATACGCCTCAGGCAAAATTGATCAGTGCTGCCACTGACCTTCTCCAGCAGATGCAGACGAAAGCCGTAAGCCTGGCCTCATCGTTGAACAGGATCTCCGCGGACGGTCCTAGGACTGGACTGATCGACTCAGGAGCATCCACATGCTTGAGGACTGCCAGGGATGATGAGCCTAAAGGGTTGGTCAAGAAAACGGTGGATCTTGCCCAAGGAACCGCAGAGTTGTTCGTTACTCCTTGTGGCACTCTTGTTTCTCCCACTCCAGTCGAGACAATAGTCGCTCTTGGATTACTCATCAAAATAGGGTGCAGGCTCCAGTGGGGTGAGAAGGAGTGCACATTATGGCACCCGTCAAGGGGGCAGATTCGGCTTGAAGTGAGCTCAGGGTGCCCTCGTGTCCCGGAGGAGCTTGCGCTAGAATTGATTCAGGAGATTGAGCAATATCGTGTGAACACAGTCGGCGCGGCCATTAAGGCACTGCAGGCCAAAGACAATGGTAGCTTGCCTCAACCCAAGGAAGCAATTAGCAAACTCACAGACGAGATTCTTCGAGGGGGTGATGTTGCCGGGAGTCTAGGAGAGTTGGTGCTGTCGTTATGGCCAGAAATCCCAAATGCCATTCTGCAGGATCTGGTAGCCTGGGCCTCTCAGGACTCTACTACATTGGTCTTTAATCGCCGGAAAAGAAGAGCGGTGTCAAAGGCTAAAGGGGTCTTGATACATTTGTTTGCCGGGGAATCTCGGAAGGAAATAGAAACTCACGCGAGGGCAAAGGGCTACGAGGTAGTATCTGTGGGCCTACAAGAAGATTTCGCGTCCATCCAGACATTCGTGTATGTGCTTCACCTAGCGGCGCAGGGAGTTGTAGATATCATCTTTGCGGCACCGCCGGGTGGAACGAATTCCGTGTGTAGGTTCATACAGCCGGGGCCAAAGCTTCTTAGAACTAGAGAAGGCACGAGTCGTTGGGGTCTGGTAGGATTGAGCCCTGCAGAACAAGTCAAGGTAAAGCAGGCGGATGAGCTTTATCTTCGGACTCTTCTGCTCATGCATGTAGCTGAGGAGGGTAGACGGAGAGTCAATAAGCCCCCCACATGGAGCCTGATTGAAAACCCCCAGGATCCAGCTACGTATGTGCGGCCAGACTCAAACCTTCACCAGCAGGCCCGCCGGCATGGCGGGTTTCCGTCGTTCTTTGCCACCAGGGAGTTTCAGATTTCCTCTGAACTGCTGGGAATGAGGCAATATCATGGAGACCAAGGCCCGTATGGTCATGAGAAGCGTAGGCCAACGACATGGGCATCCACTAGAGAACTCCCAGAACTGAAGAAAGGGCCGGGTGTAGGGCCAAGTGTGGATGGTGCTGTAGAGGAAGAATGGCTTGCTGCTAAGTGCAGTAAATGGGCACCAGGGATGATTCGGCTACTACTAAACCTAGCGCCGTCGCTCTCACAGTCTGGCATCAAAGTTGCTAAGGCAGATTCGATGGACTGGGAAGAGCATGTGCGTAATGGACATTGGCCTCCTTCTAGAAGGTGTAGAAGGTGTATAGCGGCGTGTGCCCGACATAGAGCCCACCGACGGATCAGATGTCCGGCATCTTGGGTCTTATCGGCCGATACCATCGGACCTTTCAAGAAGGCGGAGGATGAAACGTCGCCTGACCTTCGGTACCTCTTGATAGCATGTGTTGTGGTGCCAGTAGATGGAAAGGGAAAGCCAGTGCTGGGACCAGAGCAGCAACAGGCCGAGGCAGCCGAGGACACCGCCGTGGAAGCTGATGAGGAGTTAGCTGACTACGAGCCAACCGAGATGCCTGACGATGAGAATCATATCAACATCCCATTGGAAGAGCTCTTCGGACCGGATGTCGAAGAAGCCCCTCTCGTGGGAAAGGCTCTTCAGGAGTACGAAGAGTGTCTGAAAGCCTGCCAGCAAGATGCTGATGAGCTCACTGCAGCCACAAAGGAGTGCAAAGTAGATGGGCTAGCTTGGAAGGAAGTAGTGTTTGTGGAAACGCTTAGGCGAAAGACCCCAGCTGCTACCGCCCAAGCTCTCACCCGTATCCTAACGCAGGCCCATGAACTTGGGCTACCCGTCGTGCGGCTACACACCGATAGTGGCTCAGAGTACGTAAATCCTCAGATCAGGAAGATGGCTACCAGGTTTCAACTGAAGCAAACCTGCGCAGCTCCAGAGGAACATAACAGTAATGGCCGCATCGAAAACATAGTGCAGCGTGTAAAAAACCAGATGAACATGTTGTTGGGCTTGCCTAACAGCGATCCGGTGCTCTGGCCTCTTGCGGCTAAGAGCGTTGTTGCAACATGGCGTGCGCAAACACTGAGGCAGATGGGCATGCCAGCTCCAGCAGTGGTTCCGTTTGGTACTCACGCTCAGGTACTCTGCAGGTCGTGGTTGCGCAAGAGCAAACAGTCTTGGAAAGCAAAGGCAGTGGACGCCACCGTCTTGTGTCCTGCTTCGCTAATAAAACTTGGGTATGTGGTTAGGATAGGCAAGCGGTTGTCGGTCGTTACAAAGCTGTTTCAGGGTGAGGAGCCACCGCTCACAATCACGTTGAACCCAGGCCAAGACCCTCCACCAATGTCACATTCCCTAGGCCCTGAAACTCGTGTGTCCGAAAAAGCCTCAATCCCAAGTATGTCCCACGCGCCTCCTCCTCTTGTTAGGTATCGTGACAAAGCCCCAGGCCCAGGTAGACGTCCTGTAGTAAGTGCCATTCAACCTCACCCAGGTAGGAGTGTAGAAGATCTCCAAGCTGAACAACTGGCTAAAGCGAGTCCGTTTGATGTGGATGAGGCAGTACGTTTTGTCTTGAGTAGTTCGTATGTTGTAGAACAGGGGCTTCAGGACATCAGCAGCAGCAATAAGCACTTCTCGGGACAGCACTATCTGTTTGGGGTCTACCGGTATGGAGGAGCCGTCGGGCTCACTCGGTGCTGCAAACAGCGCCCAGGAATGTCTGCCCTGTTGGCAGCTATTGCTAAGGCCAAGTGTCCTGAAGCTACTTTTTCGACGATAGGACTATGTGTAAATGGGGCAGCCTATCCACATCGTGACAGCAACAATCTCCCTACTTCGGTGTCGCATTGGATTCCTCTCAAAATGCCAAAAAAGGGCGGTAGGTTGTGGGTTGAACTTCGGGTGGGTACTCAGGTTGTTGGTCAGCCAGCAGTTGTGTCCGCCGGTAATACTCATGTTCCTGGACAGTTCCACAGCCCCAATTGCCCTGCAGCGTTCTCCCCGATGCACCTGCATGGCACTGAAGATTGGAACAGGCAGGAGTCGAGAGTAGTGCTTCTGTTGTACACGGTCAATTGCTTGCAAAACCTCGATGAGCGATCTCTTCTTGAGCTACGGCAGTATGGGTTTTCCGTTCCTTGCGTTAACGAAAAAGGGGGAGATGGTGTTCATAATGCTCGAGCTAGGGAGGGGGGAGACCCAGGATTTCAAGCTGGTGTCCATGATGCTCGGGCTGGTGTTCATGATGCTCGTGCTAGGGAGGGGGCAGACCCAGGATTTCAAGGCAAAAATGGAGAACTAGGTGGTCCTGTGTGCCTCGGGCTAGGAAGCCATTGCGTGTGTCCCGCCACTACTCAGCAAGCTGCAGAGTCGGGGGAGATC